GGTGGGTGGGGCTTCACGGTTGGGTAGGGACGGGTGTCGCACAGTGGCATGGGTGCGAGCTGGTGTCAGTGCGGGTTACAAAGGAGGGGTGAGGATCGGGTGGCGTTTTTGGAGCTCTGCGATTCTGTTCCGTCGTGGGTGGCCGTTTGAAACTCAACTCCACCGTAGCCACCCACCGGCGCATGAGCCTTGAATAAGTCACCTCAACTTGATGATGTTGGAAGATGGTGCTGCTGTGTAATTGATGTTTCCTGTGCGGTCCCTCAGGCGTACACCACCTGTTAGGATATGACATACACCAGCGCGCGTTGACCGCCCGTTTGACCACACAGTGAAGGCACGCACAGCGGCTTGCTGTTGGCGCCTGCTCATCATTAGTCCCCGCATGACCACATTTGATCACTTGTGTACGGTAATCAGCAGCCACGCGCTGCATGCCCGCGCCACCTGGAGTGGGCCTCCTCTGCGCTGGTCGGTCTTAGAACACTTAATCCGAGACTCAGCATCAGCATTTCTCGATTCTAGAGCAACCTGTGGAACAATCAAACACCCTAAAACGCCCGGGGGTGCGATAAATCATGGCGTCCACAGCCATCTGGCGGGGGCCGTCCGTAAAGGCCGCGTGCCGGCCCTCTGCACGCCCATTTTTGTCAGTATCAGTGGCTCCTACATACCGCGCGCAGCCCAGGGACGTCTGCAGGCGTGCTGCGGAGGAAGGTGCGCACGAGCGCCGCCCTGCGCGGCAAGCGCCGCGGCAGGCCCACATCGCTGCTTGGTGCTACTCCATTCGCCTCGAACCCTCTTGGGTTGGAACCCCAGGCAGCATGCCAGTGGGCAGCAGCCAATCCAGGACGCAAGCTTGACGTCGAGGGCGCCACCACCACCCGGCCGCGGCCCGACCCTGGCCCGTACAACTCTGCGTGCAACCCACCTGCAGGCGCCCCTGCAACAGCGCCCGCCCCAGCCGACGCCGACCTGCCCGCGCCCGCCGCCGCTGCCGCTGCCGCCGCGCCTGCGAACGACTGGAGCGACGAGGTCGTCTTTTATGAGGGCAGCGGGTCAAACATCGAGCTGGTGCTGTCGATCCTGCTGTCAGCCACGCTGATCTACGCGCCGCTGACGCTCGCGTCGGTCGGGCGGCGGCTGTGGATCACGATCAAGGTGGCCGTGGACGCGGGGAGGGGGGGGCGGCTTGGCGGGCGCTTTAGGGGACAGCGAGGCCGCTTTTGTGGGCGGATCTGGTCGCAGGCGCTCCGCAGCATAGGAACGGCCCTCAACAGGCATTCTAATGGCTGGGGGTCGTCGCATCCCCTGCGCTCAGCCTCAATCCCTGGTCCCGCGGCTTTGAGATCCGTAACAGCGCCTCTTCCTACCCCCTAGGTGACCAACAAGCGCATCGTCGTGACCAACACGTCCCCAGCCTTCAAAAACCAGACCCAGGTGGGCGGTGCGGCGCAGCAGGAGTTCACACCCACGTCGCTGTGCGCACAGGGCATGGCCACGCAATAGGAGGCCGCCAATCGCTGGCACACCGCTCCCCTCCTTGCATGCTCTTGGCCCCAATCCCGGCCCCGCCACGCGCGACACCCGCCCGCAGGTGGCGTTCTCCCAGATCAAGGAGGTGCGCATGGTGCCGCGCGCGTTTGGCGCGTGGGGCGACATGGTGGTGTTCCTCAAGGACAAGTCGCGGCTGGAGCTGGTGGGGCTGGAGCGCTGCGAGGAGATCAAGAGGCACATCGACAGCTACATCAGCTAGAGGGATCTGGCCGGCCCTCCAGCCTGCACTGCACCGGGTCGGCCGGGACCTGGCCGGCTGGGGTCCGCACATGTGCGCCCTCGTCGTGGCTGGGTGGCACCCTTGTTTGTGTTTAGAGGGGGTTTCTGAGCGATGCGTGTCTGGTGAGGGAGTGATGACGCGCGCCGTCACTTGCGGTGCGAGTGCCGCGGGACACCCAACGGCGAAGGATTGCAACGGCTTTCAACCGCAGTGCACGCGGCGATGCACGGCGCGGCCTTCGTGCGCAGCAGACCCACATTTTTGCCTGCCATTCATCGTGGCACTCTTGTGACGCTGCACGTTCACGCAATTTACTGTCAGTCTTGACCATGGTAAACTCTCAGTGGCATGCGGCAGCAGGAGGCACCGCTTCATCCAGGTGCCCTGGTGTCCAGCTGTGCAGGTTCGTTTGTGGGACGCCCAGGTCAACACCGCCGCACCCGATCCTGCGTGGCAAACCGCAGCTAGCCTTGAGAACGCGGCAGCGAACTCGCACCAGCACAATGGAATGCAGGCGAGCGCGAATGTTATATTTTGACGGGCCATGCCCTCACTGAAAGCCAGCCTTGACACAAGCGCCACCAGCCTGCCCAGACACCCAAAACAAGACATAGATAAACGCCCATGAGCGGCACCGCATGACGAAGGCCATGACTGTTCAAGGTGACTCGGGAATAAGGCCGGTGATCGCAGTGAATTGCAGCTCCCAGCCGCCAGTGAAGTGCCATCGACCCCGAAGCCGCAGCCAAACGAACGCGCGCCCGCCGTCGGCCCTCATTCCCGCTTCACAGACACCTCCGGCTCAATGATCTGCTGCTGCCGCTGGCCCCGGGCCCCCTGCTGCTCGTCCCGCCGCGCCTCCGGCCCAGCGCGCCCGTCCTCAGCCTCCAGGGGCCGCGTCCGCGCCACCAGCTGGGCGGCCGCCACGACGCCGTCGAGCACATACCACCGCGCCACGTCCCCCAGCCGCTCGTGCTCCTCCTGGCTCACCGCCCGCCCGTCCGCCCCGACAAACGCGGCCCCGCTGGGCGGCGGGCCGCCGAGTGCGGCGCAGAGCACGCCCAGGTGGCGGACGTAGCCGCCGCCGCGCGCGTCGCCGCCGTGCTGGTCGAACAAGGCGCGCTCCATGGTGCGTGCGGCCTCAAACGGGTCCACCGCGCAGGGCGGTAGCAGGTGGGCGGCGAGGCGGAGGAGGGCGGCGTCGCGCGCCGCGTCGCCGAGGGAGCGCAGCGGCACGAGCTCCTGCAGGAACTGCTGGAAGGGCTGCTGCTGCTGCTGCTGCTGCTGCTGCTGCTGCTGCTGCTGAAGCTGCGGCTGCTGCTTATGCTGCGGCAGCAGTTGCCCCGCGCCTGTGTTGCCCCGATTGGACACGATCGCACCGCCCGCGCTGCTGGGCAGTCGTGAGCGCGGTGGGGCAGGCGGAGAGGCCGGCCCGGCCGAGGTGCCGCGATCGGGCGGGCCCTCGCTGAGACGTGCCCGAGGCTGCTGCTGCTGCTGCTGCTGCTGCTGCTGCTGCTGCTGCTGCTGGGTTAGGCGCGGCTTGATGTCCCAGCGCTCCGACAGCTGCTTCACCGCCTCGTCCGCACCGCCGCCGGCCGGGTGCAGCGCCTGCATCGTCGCCAGGTGCTGCACCCACTTCCGCAGCACCACGCCCAGCGGCTGCCCTGCCATGACCTCCGCCGCCACGCGGGCGTCCTGCGCAGCGAGATCGCGCAGCGCGGGCTCCGCCTTTGCCATCAACTCCGGGAACCCGCGCGCCAGCTGCTCCTCAGCTTCCGCCAGCTGCCGCTGCGCCATGTCCATCTGCTGCTGCAGCTTCTTCACCGCCTGCTGCTTGGTCATGCGCTCCCTGACGAGCGCCATCAGCCCCTGGGTCGGCGCCTCCAGGTCGAGCGCGGCCTGTGCAAACGGCCGCTGCTCAGCCGGGTACGACGCCGGGTCGATTGGCGGTGGCGGCGGCTGCCGCTGCTGCTGCTGCTGCTGCTGCTGCTGCTGCTGCGTCGGCGGCAGCACTGGCGCGGCCGAGGGCGACTCGCTGCGCTGTGCGGCGATCGCTGCGCCTGCCGCGCCCCGCGTTGGGCGCGCCCTTCTCCCGCGGCCTGCCGTGTCGGGCGCCTCGGCTTGCTGCTCCTGGGCCTCGCCCCCTGCGGCTCCTGACGTCCCCTGGGGCTTGCGTCGCTGGCCGCCAGGGCGGGCACCCTTAGCGGGCACCTGCTTGGCCTGCTGGTGCGGCTGCTCTTTGTCCTGAGAGCGCTGGCGCTTGGGCCGCTTGACGCCCGCCTTTGGAGCCTCCCCATCATCGTGCTCCTCCCCGTCCTCTTCATTCCCCTCCTCGTCGTCACCCTCCTCCGCTTTGCCCTGCTGGGCCCCCTCGTGCCCCTCCTCTTCCTCGTCCTGCTTCTGCTGCTTCTGCTGCTGCCGCCGCGGCCGCTTCTTGCCGCTCTCTGCCAGCGCTGCCGCAGCGCCGGCCGCCGCCCGCCTGCCGCTGCCAGCCCGCCTGAGCGCAGCGCCGCGCCGCCGCGGCGGCGTGTCCCCCTGGTCGCTGCTGTCGCTGCCGCCCTCCTCCTCCTCATGGGCGGCGTCGTCACCGTGGTCGTCCTCCCCGCTGTGCGCCCCGCGCCCGCGGTCGCGGTTGCGCCCGGACCGCAGCCGCGTGCTGGCCAGCTGCGGCTTCTTGCCGGCCGTCGCCGGGTCGTAGGCGTCGGGGACGCGACGCTCCTGCTGGTTGCGAAGGCGCATGCTCGTGGTGCTTTGCAGTGCTGGCGCTGCAGCAGGTTGCTTCGGCTTGCTGTCGTGCGCAGGATGCCCCGTCTCCGGCTGATGTGCCAGCCCCAGATCTTTCGGGTGCCCCTGCTGCTCATTCTGCGCCGGCTGCTGCTGCTGTGCCCCTGGGCCCCCCTCAACCGTCAGTTCCTGCTGCGCCTGCTGCTGCCCCTCATGGTTGGGCTGTTCGCCCGATGCTGCCTCCAATGCGGCGGGCGCCGCGGAAGCATGGGTGGTTTCTTCCGCATGGAGCTTTGCTGGGGCAAAGTTATCGTGCTCCGCAACAGGAACACCTTTCTGCAAGCGGGCGCGTTAAGACATGGCGGCCAAGTAACGCGTTGCAGGGTGCGCTGAGCGCGCCGCATGAGGCCCGACAACACAGGGCATAGTTCTTGACAGCACCACAGCACGGCGGGCTCCAGATCAGTCTCCATGATCGAGTTGCATCCATTGACAACGACAGCGCCGGGAGGCAGGGTGACGGCACTCACGGTTTGCAAACTCAAAGTTTTGCGGAGCGGCTGCGAGTCCTCATCCGCCTCGTCCTCTGACATAGGGCTTGGCTGCTGTTGCTGCGGTGGCTCCTCTTTTGACTCCATTTGGTCCCGTCGAAGGGCGCGTCGACCAGATCAGCACCACGCTGATCGGCAAAGACAAGCAAGTCTCCTAGCCCTTCATATTTATTGGACAGGAAAATACCGCATCAAATCCGTGTGATGCAATCAGGACGCAGTTGGTATCAGATCAATTAGTCTTTCGGCAACAACGGCTTTGCTAAGCAGCAGCTGCACTGCAAGCATTGGCCGTGACCCCATTGGCATGAAGCAAAGCTGTGTGCGGTTCCCATATGCTGAAGCGCGTGTTCGACCCGCCGCCACGGACGCTCGACTCGAGCGCCTTTGAGGCGCTCCTGGCCAAGCGCACGCTTGCCGAGCTGCGTGCAGCCGTCCAGGACGGAACCTTTGAGGCCGCTCAGCGGAAGGCCTTCAAGCGCGGGCGCGCTGTCACATGCTCGGCATCGTCCGGGAGCGAGGGCGTGAGCAGCGGCGGCGGAGCCGTTGGGGGCGGCGATGGCGCCAACAGCGCGATCAGCGGCGGCGCCAGCGCCGGCGGCTCGGGCGCCCGTGCTAGCGGCGGCCACGGCGCGGGCGTCAGCAGCGCGCGGGGGGCCAAGCCACGGCACGAAGGCGGCGGCGGCGGCGGCGGCGGCACCGGCGACTGCACGGCCGCCTCGGGCCCTGGCGTGCACCACGGAGATGGCGGCAGCCCCACTGAGCCCCAGGTTGACCCCGAGTGGCAGCGCCAGCAGCTAGCTGCGGTGCAGCGGGAGATCGAGGAGGAGCAGGCCGCCAGCCGCGAGGATAAGCGGGCGGAGCGGGCGCGGCTGGCGGCGGAGCAGGAGGCGGCGACTGCTGAGCTGGCGGAGCTGCGGGAGCGGCTGCAGGGCATCAAGGGCGAGAAGCACGAGGCGGTGCAGCAGCTGAAAAAGGTAGGCTCAGGGTGGGCTGCCAACCAGGCTGTTTGATTTGTAATCGCGAGTCGCAGCATAGAGGTGACTTGTCTTCTGGCTGGGGCTGTGCACGCAGGGGCATGCATCCTCCCTGCGCCACCCCAAAAATTTTCAAGCCGTGTTCTAGCAGCTTGTGCGCCTTGAAGCATCAGAGGGGCGCTCATAATTGCATTGAGGGCGCTTGCGTGTATCTCTTGCAGGTACTGCAGATTGAGCAGGAGGCGCAGCGGCAGGCAGCCCAGGCGGCTCGGGAAGCTGCTGCCCAGCAGCAGCGAGAGCAACAGCAGCAACTCTTGCTGCAGCAGCAGCAGCAGCAACGCGAGCGCGAGCGCGAACGCGCCGCCGCACAGGCGCTGGCGCAGCAACAGCAACAGCAGCAGAGGCAGTGGCAGCCCTCAGACCAGCAGCAGCATGGTCCAGGGCTCCAATCGCAGCGGTCGGCGCCGCCCGGCTTCCTTGCATCACCTCAAGCGCAGCAACATCAACATCAGCAGCCAGGAGGGCATGGTGGGCATGGCCCCAGCTGGCGAGGTGGCCCCGCAGCGCCGCAGCCGGCCGGCGGCGGCGGGCGCGGCTGGGTGGGCGGCCCAGACGGCCACCGCGGCGGCAGCGGGCCTCCTGATCGCTCTGGCGGCCCTGCGGGCGCAGGAGGCCGTGGCGCTGGCCCCGGCCCAGGCGGCCAGCAGTGGCAGCAGCCGCTGCCACCACAGCAGCGGCGGCCTCCGGCCTTGCCACCTGGCTTTAGCGGCGCCGGCGCCGGCGGCGGGGTCGGGGGCGGGGCCGCCAGCGGCGGCGTTGGTGGCGGCGGGTGGGGCAGTGGGGGTCCGGGCCGGGGCGCGACTAGCATGAGCCGCTCGCAGAGCCTGCAGCTGCCACGGACCCCCAGGGGCATGGATGCCGAGGAGGGGGAGGCGCTGCCGACGTCCCCAGGCTGGGCCCCCATGCCACGCGGCGGCGGCCCGTCCCCGCGCGACGGCCCTGGTGGGGCTGGAGGGCCAGGGCAACACCCGGGGCAACAAGGGCCGGGGTGGTATGGGGGCCGCGGATATCCAGGTGGCGGCGGCGGCGCTCCGCACTGGGGCAGGGGATCATTCGCAATGCGCGGGGGCCGTTACGGCGGCCGTTTTGGGCCCTGACTACGTAACCATTCCTTGATATGACACTGCAATTGTGAGCCGCATCTCATGGCTGCCTTGCAATGCAACAAACTGGCTGCTTCAATGACCTCCGTGCATGATATTGGATGCGAATTGTGTAATCTGGAGTCCTCTGCACGCATCAGAATACCTCTGGCACGCTGCATTAAGGCAGCACGTGGCCTGGGCTCACCTCAGATACTGCCGGCCGAGGCAAAAGGTGAGGCGTCTCGAGAGGGGCAGCACGGAGTAAGACAACGAGCAAATGCACAATGCAGCAATGATGTGGTCGGCTCCGCAGTAGGAGGTTCGACCCTGCAATCGGGGGCAAGGAACATTGACGCATTGCGCCCAAGGCTGAGCTCAGGTTGAGCTCGAGCGGTGCGGCGGTTTCGCCAACACCATCAGGCGACGCCCTGGCGCATATCGTAGACGCACTCGACCGGCTCAGTGGCCAGGATGGTGATGCGGGATAATGAGAGAACAACGTATCCAAGCATTCCGCCGCTGCCGGAGTAGATGAGCTAAGATCGACAGATCCGGGAAGGACCGATCTACGGTATGTGGTTGCCTGATCAACACGCACATTCAGATGAGCCTTAAGACAGGCCGCTAAGTCATCCAGACGCTCCACGCACCAAAATCCCGACGGAGGCAAAGACTCTGCTTGGGCTGTTCTTACTGCTTTGTCTGAACGCATACAAGAAGGATCGTGTGGATAAGCACGCTGACAGCCTGGCGCACGCCGAGTGTCGCGCCTGTGAGACGTGCTAGCGCCGCGCGACGCGCTCTGCAGCCGAACAGCGCTGACGTCCGCTTCGATGAAGGGCAAGCGAGAGCGGGAGGAGGCGTGCAGCATCTGTGGACACTACCATGACGTGAGCACCTCAGACAGTGGGCGGAGGGTCGCACACGTGGCCAGATCACCCCCGCCTCGTGCAAGCGGCGCCTTTTCTGTCTTGATCGCGGCCAGCTTGTTCGGCGATGCTGTCCACACCTGCTCAAGCGCCCGCCCCCATCCCCGGCACACACAAACATTGCACTCATCCTGGTGCACGCTCTGTCTCGCTTTACAGTACGAGGGCGGGGAGCCGTGCAAGGTGTGCGGCCACGTCCTTGCTGTGTCAACAGCGGGGCGACCAGAGACCGTCATGCCCACCACTGTGGTTCCCGGTTTCCTCTACCTGGGCAGGTGAATTACCAGCCGCAGTAGCTCTTGGAAAGAACGCAGCGCAGTCCGCCGTTGGTCCTGCCATGGCGTGGGCCGGCAGATGCAGTGGGCGGGTATAATGAGCGGCGGGCGGTGGGGCGCGCGTGCAGCGGCATGCGGTACAAATGCGCGCATGTACACAGGCATCCAAGCATGCACGCATGCGCGCACACCACCTGGTGCATGCGGTGGTCCAGCTGCCAACGGGCACACATGCATGAGAGTCCTTAGTCGATGGCGCCCAGGTTGCCTTTGCATGAGCCATGCCCGCAGTCCACCCAGGTGTCCCCGCTTCTTGCGGATGCCATCATGGACCCATGCGTCGCCGCCCGCACCCCGCATGCCTCTCACAGCTACGACACCGCGTCGCGCCAGGAGCTCCTCAGGGCCATGCAGATCACAGACATTCTCAACGTGAGGAGGGGTCGGCCACAGCTGTGGGTGTGACTGCGCTTGAAAGGTGTGTCAGCTGGTGCATGCGGCTTCGATGCCGGGGTGGCTTGGATGGGTGGACGGGGCCGAGGTGCATGCTTGACCCGTCATAATGTCACAGCCCCAGCACAATTTTAGGGCGCCGCGCGAATGCATCAGGCCGCAGCACGCATACGGCTGCCGGATAATACCCTGCAGCCGCATGCACATCTGACTGATGCTGTCGTTTCTGGTGGCGATGCCCCTGCAGACTGTGCCCAGCTGCCAGCCACTGTTCAAGAACACATTCAACTACCTTACAGTGTCAACCGCACCCCCAGAGTTTGAGCAGTGCTTTGAGTTTTTGGGTGCGCTGGCTGACTCGTATGCAATTGCATGCAGGGACGCGCTCGCTCGTGTAAGCCTGCTGCGGTAACAGGCACGCTTTCCGTGCGGCTTTGCCCCTTGTAAAGCGAGGTGTTGTCTTGCTGCACGCTCTTTTATGCCATTCGGTCATGCAGCTCCCCTGTTTGAAGCCGCCACACCTCCATCACTGACTTGCCGGTTGCTCTGCCGCCGTGCACCCTTGCATCGCCCTCCACTGCCCCTCAGACAAGGTCAACAGCGAGAACAAGCGCGTCCTGGTGTACTGCATGAGTGGCGTGTCGAGGTAGGAGGGCAGGGCAAGCGGCAAGGGTGCCTGCGATGCGGGCTGCGGCATGCCCGACTGCTGTTGCGCCGAAAACCCGCTCCTGCGGGCCGGTAGCATGCGCCTCCTGAGATTGCCTTGCATGCACCCGCCTCCCCTTCATGCGCTTCGAGGACCATGCCTCCTTTCCTGTTGCCCAGTCGTACAGACTCCACGGATTCACCTGTCCTTCCCATCCTCCACACTGATCCACCAACTGGTCCCGTGTTGACCACCCACACACCCACACCAGGGGCCCCGCGGTGGTGATTGGCTACCTCATGAAGCTCCGCAACTGGCGGCTGGTGGAGGCCTACAAATGGGTCAAAGACAAGCGGCCCCTGGTCAACATATCGCAGGGTGCGCTCATTTCCGCATGACGGGGGCGTGGGGAAGTCCGGCAGCCTGAATGGGTGAAAGCCTACACGGATATCTCTTGGCTTGCAAAACGTTTGCAGTGCCACTCATGCTGAGCCATCTTTCAAACGCCGCCGTGACGCGCGGGCCGTGCGCAGCGGCGCTGGTCAAGCGCTTCAGCAGAGGAGAGCCCGCTGCCCTGACCGCACTCCGGCCAAACTCATTGGCTTTGCCCCATGTCTTGTCCCACGTTGCCCTGCAGGGGACACCAAGCGGCTGGTTGACCTGGAGATGCGGCTACACAACTCATGCTCGGTGCCCTTTGGCTTTGCAGCCGTCAGCCTGCCAGGTGCGCTGTGGCACGCAACCGGGCTCAAATTTGCCTTGGCTGCAGTACCCGTGTCTGTGCTGTCCCAAGTTGGACGCGCTTGCAGAGATGTGCAGGCAGCAGACACATTGGGGCGGGGGGGGGGGGGGGAGTCCGGGGTGCTTCTGGATGATGACAGCCACCCAAGGAATCCAGGCCTGATGCCGTCTTGCGGGCTGCTGAAGTGACCCCGTCTCACCCGCAGGTTCGCTCGTCCCGCAGCAGCAGCAGCATACACACGCACAGGAACAACAGCAGCAGCAGCAGCAGCAGCAGCAGCAGCAGCAGCAGGCACACGAGCAGCAGCAACAGCAGCAGCAGCAGCAGCACCTACAGATGGCGCCGGCGGGGTCGTCACCAGGTGAGCGGCTCGTGCGGGCCCACCATGCACGCCGCCAGGCCGGTCCTGCTTCACTGCAGCTGCTGTGGAGGCGCATGCAATGCCCAGCCACTGCCTGGCGTTTTGTAAACTGCGCAAACGTGCACTGGCGTGTGATGCACGGTTTGTTTTCGCAGGAGGCATCTTTGGAGGCAACCAGGTGCACTGGAACACAGGAGCAGGCAGCTCGCCAGCGTTCGCATTGCACAGTGGAGCGGGCGCCACGTCACCCTTGAGCGGCGGGTTTGTGTTTGGTGGGGCTGCTGCACCGGCACAGGCGCAGTTGCACCCGCAGCATCACCACCATGAGCATACAAGCGAGATGGAGACATAGGCTAACGGCCTCATTGGGGGCGCACATTGTGAGTGACCTCACGCGCAGCCATGGCTTGATGTCAGGTGCCCCATCAGATACGACTCGTGGGGATTATTCCAAGCGTGGAATTCTGCGGTGTTGCCCTGCAACTCGAGCCTGGCTTTTGAAGCTCGCGCTGTGCGCTGACATGCAGCAGCGCCTGCAGCCGTGCATTGTGTCATACATGGGCTCACTTCCTTGAGAGGCAACGCCCCCTACACGACAGGCAGGTGCCAATGAGTGTTCAGCCTGAGTCGTGCTTGCACGCGCACCTCCGGCTCGTCTACTTTCAGCCATTGGACCTTGGTGCATGACCTTGGTGCAGGAGCTTGCCTAATGTAGCTTGTGTATGTATGCATATTTACGGTTCTTTACGGGTGTGCTCACCCAAGGCCTTGCACGTCCTGCCAATCATGGTCTACCCCAGTAAGCAGTCCAAGTGATGGGCCAGCAAGTGGGGTTGGACAGGGAACTGGAGAGTAGCTTTAGCCCAATGTGTTGCTGTCGTGCTGCGTGTGTGCGACAGCCATGCAGTTGAGTGCTGATGCTCGCAGAGGAGGCCACAGCCGCAGCCAACCATCGTGGGTGCAAGCACTCCGGGACGCTGCGTTGCGTCACTGGAGCGGACCAAGTCAAATGCCTCCTGTATGGCACACTGCAGGCACTGTCAATTTCCCATTCCAAGCGCGAATCAAGTTTGCTTTGTGTCGTACGGCGCCCTATTCCGTCACGACAACCATCCCGCGGGTTTGCGGCAGCCTCAAACACTTGATCTCGTTTGCAGGACTCTTGCGAGCTGCTGGTTGTCCCAAACACCATGCCATTAAAATCAATGTTTCAGCAGCAGCCTCTGCAACGCCTGCAGCTCTGTTCAGGGCTCGCCGTGCCAGCGGCGCTCTCGCACCGACGGCGTGCGCACCCCGCAGCAGCAGCTGGCGGCGAAGACGCCTATGGCGGCAGCAGCTACTACAGCAGCAACCTTGGGGCCCTCTCACGCACGGTGGCCAGGGACGCGCCCTCAGCTGAGATTGATCCGTACGGTCAGCAGCGAGTTTCAGTGGACAGGTGCGGCCACAAACGCCACCCGCGCGTCCCCTCGCGCACAACAGCCGACTCTGGCCAACGGGTCCCGCCACGCATGTATGCACAAGCCTGTCCAACACGTCATACTCGGCAAACATTACCAGTCCCACCCTTTCATCGCACTATGGTGCAAGCACCGCTGACCGGACCCTGTGATCAACTCGTTACTGCTCCACCCGCAGCTTCGCCAACCGCGGCTTCGCCATCGACGGCGGCACTGCCTTTGTCAACGTCGTGCTCCTGCTGCTTCTGTTTGGCCTCTCTTTTGAGCGTATTTTCGGCCTTGACAAGGTGGGAGGCGGCGCACCTGATGCGAATGCGCGTGGTAATCGGCCGCTGCTGAAGCCGGCGCACAGTGCATTTCACTTGCGCCTGACTCCCCCACACTCTTCCCCCCCTTGGGCGCAACAAAAACAGCACCACGCAGCTGCGCAGCCCATGCAGCAGACACTCCCCTTCGCCCCGCGCACGTACGCCCGCCTTGCAAGGTGATAAACAATGCGCTGCGGCGCTGGAAGGAGTCGCGTGTCGAGGGGCGGCGCTACGAGGTGTACGATGCGCGGCAGCAGCTGGAGAGGCAGTGGAGCGGTGATGAGGACGGAGCGGGCAACGCCGGCTCAGACAGGGGCCCGCGCCGCCCGCCGGGGCCGCCAGGGGACAGCTGAGATCGGACCCGTGCAGGGGTGTGGCTCAGTCTGGCTGACATATTGCTTTTTCTTGTGCTTGGAGTGCTCTTTTACGGTAATCCATTGGGCGGCGACAGGTCTCGAATGCAGGTTACAAATCTTCGCCGGCACAATGCAGTGAAGTCATAATAATAATGGCCAGGCACGATTCCAGCAGCGCAACGAACCGCGCCCCGCACGGCCCCGCAAGTGGCAGGGGCTCGTGGCAGCAGACGCCTGTATCGTGGGTGCATCTGAGGAAGTGGAGGTGCAGCTCCTGATAATACAAATGCAAAATACACAGGGGATCACGTCGCTTCCAAACACACGTACGAAACTCTCATGGGAGGACACACTCCTGACAGCCAGACGACAAACGTTGACGAGCTGCAGACCCGGGCGCCGCCACACGACTGCTTAGCCGATCACCACCGCCTGCAGCTGACCGTTGGGGAAAGGGGAAAAAGAAAATGAAGGGATTGATTCAGCCGCACTGGCCCTACTGCTGCCGCCGGCTGCCGCGATTGCTTCCGGCCGACACGTCCCAGACGGCAGTCCAGCGCACGCCAGACAGCTTCACGCCAAAAACCTGCACACGGGCAGCCGAGAGGGGCCGATGAGGGTTACTAGAACATCGAACAGAGGCTACCCCCACCACGCCGCTACTGGCCGGCGCCAAAACAGTCCAGGCGAGCGTCGGGGCTGCCGAGTGGGCGCCGAGCACCGTGGGCCGAGAGTCCCATGCGCAAACTCTGGGGTGACATGCTGCCCATCCGCAGCAGAGGGGTGAGGCACCCAACATCTCCCCGGCCCCTGGACCCACCAGCCACAGGCCCATGATAATACAGGCCACGGAGCCCTTGGGGCTGTCCCCAAACACATTGTCCAGCAGCGACTGTTCAGGGGTAAAAGAGGAAGCGTAGGATTGTTGTATGTTGATGCGTTGGAGCGAGAGAAGGACTGAGCGCTGCACTGGGCACGAGCAACGTGAGCGAGCCCAGCACAAGCCACTCTTGCGCCGCGCCCTGTGGCGCTTCCGATGCGGCTGCGCCGCGCGCATCCCGCTCCTCTGCAAGACCGACGGGCAAAAGGAGCCGCCCTCGGAAGCCGTCGCGCATGCAGCTGTCTTGCCATCACCTGCACGCCCCGCTCGTAGCCAATGAGCGCCACCATGAACAACACCGTCAGCCCAATCGTGGGCAGGTCTGCCTCCAGCCGCCGCTCCGCCTCGACCAGCCACCGCGGCAGACGCAGCGCTGCAGGCGGCCAAGCTGCGGCGTCTGCGGCGGCAGGGGCGCGGGCCTGCGACGTTGCGTCTCGGGCGGCGCTGCTGCTCACGCCGCCGGCCTGAGGCGCTGGGAGCTCCGGGCTCGCAGCGCCGTCCAGGCGGAATGAGTCCTCGAGGCGGCGCTTTTGCTGCTCCTCAGACGCCTGCTCCGTGATAGAGGGCGCTGGTGCTCGCACAGCCTGGCGCGCCACCACGGGTGGTGGACGGCGGCGGAGCGCGCGGGTCACGGGCGCACCGCCCTTGGCTGCATGCGGCCGCAGCGACCCTGTTTGGAACCCTCCCCGTCCCATTCAGTTTAAATCAAAGACTAGCCGCCGGTGCGCACGTTGGCCGGTCTAGTCACTGATCGACGCGGGATTTCGAATTGTGAATGGATGAATGTCTGTCAGCGACAAAACTGTGTGTACCAGTATCACAGGAGAAAATTAGAAGAAAAACACTTACTTCTCGACACTTGACCATATGATGGCCATGCCGCTGGAGCAAACGCATCAGCACGGCGAAACGCCGCCCCCCGCCTGCGTAGAGTGACAGGAAGGCGCTCACAGTGTCACAAGCCACCATCATGCGCTGAATTCATTGGCCAGGCTTCTGGTATGTGATCTGTTTGAGTAGGTACGGGCAGGGATACCCCAATTGCATTGAGCACTCCGCTGTTTGCGGCACACTTGCCACTTTGCGCCCGGCCCCTGAGAGACAGTGACGGCCGACTACGATTTAAGGTAGTTGAAGTTTACATATATTTTGACCGTGGAAGTACTCAAAACCCCACAGAAGCCAAGAGTAATGCACGTGCATGCCTATTTTGCCTTCCATCAATGACTCAGCGTCCACGTCCACAACACCCACCATCTGTCACGGCGTGATAGCCTGCAAAAGGCAGGTGGGCAAAGGGACTGGGAAGAGCATGAGGTCGTGTCCTTGACATCCCTTGGAGGGTCCAATTAAGTACTTCACAACTGAGACGCACAAGCCTGAGTGGAACCGTCACGTTATGCCAACTCTGAACGGCTCACTCGCGTCGCCCGCCCCACCAAACCCCCATCGCTGCGCGGCATCCACCCCCGCAGCGTTGAACTGCGGTTGTCTGGGCGGCTGCGGACGCCATGCGGGAGTTCGCACGACGTCCGCAGCCTAACCCCCGCCGCTGCCCCACTGCTGCAGGACCCCCGAAGGGGCCCCCAGCCAGGGGCGGCAGAGGAGTTTGTAGGCTTTCCACGTCTCTTCTGTCCCCAACAAAGGGGCCCCAAACTCTGCTTTGCTTTGCTTTGCTTTGCTTTGCTTTGCTTTGCTTTGCTTTGCTTTGCTTTGCTTTGCGTTGCTTTGCTTTGCTGTGCTGTGCTTTGCTGTGCTTTGCTTTGCTTTGCTGTGCTTTGCTGTGCTTTGCTTTGCTGTGCTTTGCTGTGCTTTGCTGTGCTTTGCTGTGCTTTGCTGTGCTTTGCTGTGCTTTGCTGTGCTTTGCTTTGGGTTCCGCCACAGGCGTTAGCCGCCCCTGTCTAAGTGTGCCTCTAAGTCTTATGAGTTGGCTTAGTTCTAGGGGTCTAGGTCGGCGTTGTCGCAGGCAGACGGCGTTGTCGCAGGCAGTCGGCGTTGGCGCAGGCAGTCGGCGTTGTCGCAGGCAGTCGGCGTTGTCGCAGGCAGACGGCGTTGGCGCAGGCAGACGGCGTTGTCGCAGGCAGTCGGCGTTGGCGCAGGCAGACGGCGTTGGCGCAGGCAGTCGGCGTTGTCGCAGGCAGACGGCGTTGTCGCAGGCAGTCGGCGTTGGCGCAGGCAGTCGGCGTTGTCGCAGGCAGTCGGCGTTGGCGCAGGCAGACGGCGTTGTCGCAGGCAGACGGCGTTGTCGCAGGCAGTCGGCGTTGGCGCAGGCAGATGGCGTTCGCGCACTGCCACGCAGGCATCACCAGTGGGCGAAGGCGTGGCGCGGGCGCGTGGAGTAGACTCGCTGCTCGCTGCGGCAGTAGGAACGCTGCACAGCCGGTGTCCTGACAGGCTCCCATACACCCTGACGGTTTGTCGGTTTGCGGAGCGATTGGTTAGGTGCGCCCCAGACTGTGGCAATAGGGCACACTCAGTCAAGTTCAGAAGCAAATGCAGGACAGCAGGTCAGCGGGCCAAGTGAGAGCACAGCCGGCCAACATGCCCCCACGCCACTGAGCCCTGTGCCTTGAGAAGATGCGGCACCTCACAAGCCCTTCTTACCTTGGGCTCGGGCTCAGGGATGACGATGTCGGTGATTGGCCTCAGCACCGGGTAGGGCGCCAGCATGTGGGGGTTGACAGCGCCGGCGAAGCTCAGGGTGGGCAGCTGGGACATCGTCGGCGACTCCTCAGGCGCGTCAGTCATCGTGACATCCCCGTCATCACCCGCGCCTGAAGGTTCTGTGGGTGTCAGGTGAGAGGTGACCGAGCAGTGTTGGTGAAATAGTTGCCAATACTACAACGGCTTAAAAGTAATCAGCAGGTCCAATGGCAACTTTGGGCATGCAAGGAGCGGCTGCTTGGTGACCACTCACCGACACAGGATGGGGCCAGTTGTTGGAACTGCTGCTGCTGCCAGAGCTGCTGCTGCTGCCAGAGCTGCTGCTGTTGCTGCTGCCAGAGCTGCTTCTGCTGCTGTTGCTGCCAGAGCTGCTGCTGCTGCTGCTGCTGCTGCTGCTGCTGCTGCTGCTGCTGCTGCTGCTGCCAGAATTGCTGCTGCTGCCAGAGTTGTTGCTCCTGCCAGAGCTGCTGCTGTTGCTGCTGTTGCTGCTGTTGCTGCTGCTGCTGCTGCTGCTGCTGCTGCTGCTGCTGCTGCTGCTGCTGCCAGAATTGCTGCTGCTGCCAGAGTTGTTGCTCCTGCCAGAGCTGCTGCTGTTGCTGCTGGTGCTGGTGCTGGTGCTGGTGCTGGTGCTGGTGCTGGTGCTGGTGCTGGTGCTGGTGCTGCTGGTGCTGCTGGTGCTGCTGGTGCTGCTGGTGCTGCTGGTGCTGCTGCCTGACCTCATCATCCTCCCACCAGTACCAGCCCTCCATGGGGGTTGCCTCATCCTCCTGCAGCCTGAGGCCAGCGACGCCGCCAGTGATGGCCCCCAGCGCCTCTGCATTGGCGCGCGCACGCTGGCAGCCGCTGCTGGTCTCGTCGTCGTCGTCATCGTCGCTGAGGTCAAAGGTGAACACAGGTGCGCGGATGCTGACACTGCGCACCACCTCTCGCGGCTGGTAGGGCACAGAGGGCAGCGCGTGCGCGGGTGCCGGCGCAGGCACAGGGCAGCACGGCGCTGGCGCTGGCGCAGGAGCCGGGCACACGGTGCAGGAGGGAGGCGCACTGGTGCGCTTGGCGGTGGCGCGGCGCACCACAATGGAGGCGGAGCCTGCGACGGCGCTGACCATGCTCACGGCGGCGCTGGCGGCGCTGCCGATGGCGGCCGCGACGGCGCCCACCGCTGCCTTGGGCAGGTCCATAAAGCGGCGCTTCGCCCGCAGCTGCTGCTCCTCCTCAAACTCATCGCGGGGCTTGTTGTCCTCCTGCTCCTGCTGCCAGAGCTGCTGCTGCTGCCAGAGCTGCTGCTGCTGCTGCTGCTGCTGCTGCTGCTGCTGCTGCTGCTGCTGCTGCTGCTGCTGCTGCTGCTGCTGCTGCTGCTGCTGCTGCTCCTGCTGCTGCTGCTGCTGCTGCCTGGGGGGCTGCTGAGACAGGCTGAAGGTGATGGGCGCGGGCGCAGTGGGCAGAGGGCTGGGTGGCGCCGCCGTCTTCCAGCTGCTGGTGCTGATGCTGCTGTCCACCTTGATGTCCTTGGGCAGCTTGATAGAAATCTTGGGCCTGGGCTGCGGGGCGTTGGGGGCGGAGGACGGCGGGGCGGAGAACGGCGCAGACGCAAAAGCGGCGGAAGAGAACGGCACAGACGCAGAGGCAGATGTGAAGTTAGAGGAAGAGGCAAATGTGCAGTAGGCAAGTCGAGACTTGATCGGGGGGTTCCCGATCGTGACAGCGCTGTAGTAGTCAGGGGTGGACGCCTCCTCCTTGGTCACGGGGACGGTGGAGGGGGTGGGCTTGGTGGCCTGCGCATGGTGGAGGAAAGAGTGTGCATGGTAGAATTATGAGTGGTGAGGCCCATCTGGAGTCGGGGCAGGGCATGTTTCCACGGCATGCGCCGATCGTGGTGCCTGCTGCCGCTGCACACTGCTGCGTCAGCGGCGGGACGTGCGCGGCGCCGAGCGCGGCGCCCTGCTGCCACGAGCGCCCTGAGCGCACTCTTCATATGATGCAAAGCCATTCGCACCTTGTCTACGCCCTGCTGGGACGCACACGCTGGCCTGCCGAGGGGCTTGCCGATCAGGGGCCTCGCAAACGAGCGGCTCTGCGGTCGAGGATGCAAGAGTGTGTCAGGATCATGCATCCAAGAGATTTGATGCGTGAAGGGGCCCGCTCCGCGTTACCACGCGAGAAGCTTTGGATTTAATCGCGACGGTTTGACCGCGCGACCCCTGCCCTCGCCCAGGCTCTCACCTGAATGGACAACGTGGAGTTCCTAGAATGTTGGCTCGAAGCCAGGGAATGCGCCATAGCGGCGGCGGGGGTCCTTGCGGCGCTGCGACAACACTTGCTGCTGCGTCGTCGGTGTTTGCGTATGTGGGGTTGTGGGGTGGGAGGGGCATTCAACACTCGATGATGTTGATGTGAATGATTTCAAGCGATGATCAGGATTAAGTAGGGAAGCGATCTGGGGGTCAGCATCCCTGCAGCTCCTCAGGTGCTTGCCAGGTTCCGCGGATGCGCGTGGTGCTGCGCAGCGCTGGTGCGGCTTAGCGTCGCTGTTGCGTTGGTATGCCGCCATGCGGATGTTTCCTGTGCCAAAATGGAATCATTCGAAGACACTAGCTTGGCCCGTTCCTTGGCCGGCCGGCACGCAGCGCCCTGCCATGCTGCTGCTGACAGCGCTGCTGTTGTTCACACCACTGCGTATTGGGTGATGGTGCATTCAGATCGCAGGAAGGCTCACCGGCGCGTGCTTGCCGAATGTGCGCCAATAGAACTCAACTCAATCACAACTTTACGCCACTGCTGTGCAGCATCGCTTGTTGAGTAGCAAGGCAAGCGTCGCCCTGCAAACTCCCCAGATCATTGTGGGCACCACGGTCACAAATGTGCCACTGCACACAATAGACAGGTGAGGGACGTCGCATGCGCATTCATTCTCACACTACCCACAATAGTCAAGAGAGGACACAGATTGTGCTGAACCTATTCCGACACACATTCGTACACACACACACACGCACTCACACACACAAAAACTAGTGCTATTTGCCCTTGCCACTGCAATACACATGCACGCACATGCAAGAGCGCACGTGTGCACACACGCACACCCACACGCATGGGCACACATCTGCAAACAAGCCCCTCCCCCCTGTCACTCGTTTATGTCCTCCTGCGCGACGTGCGAGTGCTGCGCCTCGTCCTTGGTCACGCGCCACAGGAACTCGGCGTGCTGCCGCGTGCCGATGAGGGAGGCGAAGGTCTCGTCGTGGGTGATGACGATGAGCTGGAAGTTCTCCTGGTCGCGGCGGGTCGCCATCACGGTGCGCAGCGCCTCCGCCAGGGCGGCTGCGGGGGGGAGGGGGGGGGGGTTGAGGGTGGTGCGCGGACGGCGCCGAGGCAGGAAGTTGTTTACTCTACTCCAGCCGCGTTCGTGAGGAACGATCAGACTGAGGCGGGGCGGCTTCATGGGAAGGCACAGCGCCTTGACGGAACAGGCGGACCAAACGCTCAACAGACGCATGGGCTTTGCCTTGCAGGCCCCGCGCGAGAGGGCGCCCGCCCCACCCCCAGGGTGGCGGCCCCTCAGCCAGGAGCCCCCCGAAGCCGCACCCTGCACTAGACACCATCCCGCGTTTGCCTGTCCCGGCCCGCCCTCTTCGCCCCCGCCCCCTCCCCGCTGCCGCACATGCGTTGGCGGCGTCCAGGTTTGTGGTGGGCTCGTCCAGTGCGAGGATGCCACAGTTGAGGCAGAAGGTCTCGGCCAGCGCCAGGCGGATGATGAGGGACGCCAACACCTTCTGGCCCGCGCTGCAGCGGCCCCGCATGTCCAGCTCCACGCCGCCGCTGTACATCACCACGCTGTCCAGGGGTTGGGGCGCGGCATGGTGGCGGAATGGGTCGTGAAGATTATGGTTCGACCGCTTTGCGTGTGGTTGCGAAGGGGCGGTCCCTGACTGCCGTGTCTGGCAGAGGCGAGGTGCAGGTCGGCAGTGCAGCAATCGCTTAAGAGGGGCGCCTGGCCAGCATGCGGGCACGCGCCACGAGACCTGACAAGCCCCTTGGGAGCGCAGGGGCCTGATGAGGCGCGCTCGCCGCGATGGGACCCTTCGAAACGGGGCTGGCGCGCACACCGGTAGTTGTAGGACCGCGCCCCGTCAGCGTCGGCCTTGATCTGGATGTAGTCGATGTCCTGCCCCCGGTAGGTCTTCTGCCACAGCTCCTTCACGGTCTGAGGAGGAAGGGGTCGGAGGCAGGTGCGGGAGGAAGGGGAATGCGACGGGATTAGGGGGCATACGGCGGAGATGCAGCGACGGTTTCAAATTGATGATGTGTCATAGTGATGGCATGGAAGCTGGGGGAGGGGTTGGCAGGTTGGGGGGAGGCTGTAAGGCCCAACAACATTTGGGCAGAGAGGAGGCGGGCACAGTCGCAACCGCATGTGGATTTGTGAGGGGGCAAGGCCTGCCGCCATGCCGCCCCTTGGCCCTGGAGTGCATCACAGGCGCGGCCGCCGGCGCACCCTGTTGATGTCTGCCATCTTTGTGGTGTGGAACGTGAGCAGTGCCTTCTCCAGGGCCCTGTGGTATTTGTCCAGGTCATCACACGCCAGCTTGGTGGTGGACACCTTCGGGGGGGGGGGGTGAAGGGGAGGGGGTTGTGGGCTGCGTGGTGCGGCTGTGGACGCATGGCATCTTGATGGAGTGTGTTGCGCGTGCGAGATGTGCGGGCGTGTGTGTACGTATGTACGCACACGTATGTATGTGTGTGTGTGCATGTGTGCGTGTGTTTGTATGTGCATGTGTATGTATGTGTGTGCATGTGTGTTCGCGTCGATGCTTCAAGAATGGATGCCGTACAATCAGCCTGCAAATGCCTGTTGCCATCGAGGTTCGATACAAGCGACCGGAGAACGAGCTGCACAATCTCCCCTTTGGCACCGTCCCATTCAATAGCTAGAAGCCCCCAAGAACGGCCGCCGGCAACTTGGGCACCAAGTGAGCGCGTCCCCGCAAGTTGCGGCGGATCATAATGCATGGCGTGTGAAGTGCCACCTAGCCCCTCGCATGACCCGCAAACCCATGCACCCGAACCGGCCCCGACCGCGCCTCCCGGGCGCTTCCCGCCATCCCTTCTCATACCACCCAATAGAACAGACATCCGCTTTGGGGGATCGGCACCCAATAAAACAGACGTCTGCTCTCCCACAATCGGGAGTGCCCGTTGAAATAGCCCTCACCTCCACCATCATCATCTTGGTCTTCAAATCAATGTTGTTGTACATGGGCTGGGACAGCTCAACCTCAGCCTGGCGCATGGTCTGGTTGGGAGGATGGGGGGCAGGCCAGGTCGGGAGGGGGGGGGTCGATGCCGGCACTAGTGGCAGGAACTGCAAGGCAGAAGCCTGCCAGCGGCGACGAAGCCAACCCTTACTACAACGGCAGCCCGATCACCACACAGGGCCCCCTCTGCGGGAGCGGCCGTGCATGGCGCGCGGCCCCGGCCCCACATCCCGCCGTGTCCTGCCGCCGCCGAAACGCGCACTGGCGTCCGACGCTCACACCATGCTGCGCACCCCCCTCTCGCCGCACCCGCCCCTTGCCCAGTCCCCCCATACAACAGGGCCCCCAGCCGCACCTGCCGCTCCACCTCCAGCCGCCCCTTGACCCTGTCCTGGCTGCTGCGCAGGTCGTCCCTCTGCCGCCGCTTGTCCTCAAACGTCCTGTCTATGGCCTTCAGGTCACCAATCTGATATTTTATTCGAAGGATGCATGATTAAGTGGGTGAAGCAGCCAAATTCAGGGGGTGATCTGGGGGCAGCAAGGTGGTGTGGTGTACGAAGGGGGGCTGGATGCAAGGAGGGTCAGTTGCAGCGCTTCCGTGACCAATTCAGCGGGCCCGGAGTGTGCCAAAGGTCCATGCAAATGCAGACGTGGCTGTGCGACAGACAGCCCCCTGCCCAGCTCGTGGGCCGGTGTGGTGTAGCGAAGCAACGTTCAGGCTATTGCCGCACGCGCCTGCTGCTTCTGCTCTTGCAACCGCGCCAGGCTGGCCTCCAGCTCCCGCTGCTTTGCCTCCGTGCGCCTGGGGTGCATGATGATGGGATTTTGGGTTTGGGGTGCAGGCCAGGTGTGGTGTTTTGCAGGGCGTCGGGCTTGCGTTGTCAGGAAGAGGTTGGGTGAGCGCAGGGTCGTCACGCGTGATTGTGCACGTGTGTGTGTGTATGTGCGGTGGGATGATGGGGGATAAGCACACAACCTTGACTCGAGCAAGGGCGATCAGGAGGAATGGCACTGTGCAGGGGGAGATGGCCCTGAAGTCTGAGCAGCTGCGGCCTGCTGCCACACAGGGACAGCTTAGCGTCGAGCAGGGCAACTCATCTGCAGCTCCACCTTGAACACACGAGTGCACGCGCACACACCCACACACACGCGCACACACATACACACACACACACACACTGACACACGTGCGCGTACGCACACAAGCTCTGTCCCCACCTCGAGTCCAGCACCGCATGTATGTCGCGCCGTGTGTCGCTCATCTCCGCTATTGAGCCCTGCTTCTCCTGGAGGGCCGCCTCCAGCTCACTGGTGTGCTGGGGTGGAATGGGGGGTGGGAGATGGTTGAGATAGGTGGGGGGGGTGTGGTGAGGTGAGGTGTGGTGAGGTGAGGTGTGCTGTGGTGTGGTTCGGGGTACTACGAGGTGGTGCCAGGTATGGCGAGATGGGGACTCGCAGATTCAGGGTGCTTGAGTGGGACAGGGGGGAGGAGCGGGCCTGCTAGCGCCTGCGTGCGTGTCCCGGCCAGGGTTGATGCGCATCCTGTGCGATGGCAAAACCTGCCAGGCTGGAGGTGATGAGAGGAGGGGCTGGCAGGCTGGGCACGCCTGGAACTCGCACATGGTTCGTTTGCACTTGGGGCAATGCCGCGGCAGGGGCGCCTGGCTTGGTCTGGGTGGCCTCACGCCCCACCCTGAGCTCTTGCCATCACCGGCAGCCCCGTGTCCGACACTGCACGCGACATGTCACCTGCATCTACAGGTCACCATCTCCATGTCTCTCATTCCTGCACACACCCCACCCCACTCAATCCACCCATGACACAGGATAACCCAAATCGCACCCCCCTCAATGCCAGGCACACCATACCCATGCACGCACGCACGCACACGTGCACACCAGAGCGCCCGATCGCCCCACCCACCTTGTGCGCGTCCTCTATGCGCCTGTTGAGCGCGTCCAGCTCGCCGCTGGTGCGCGCCAGGTCAGCGCTGCGCCCCGCGGACAGGTACTCATCCACGGGGCGGCAGCGCGCCGCCACCTGGTCGCGTGCCGCCACTGCCTCCCTAGGCGGTTGCAGGTCATGTTTTGAGTGGTGCACAAGAGAGATGTTGGGGGACCGGGTATGTGGGGGCGGGAGGGCTGGCAGCCGCACTGCCAGATAGGGATGAGGCCATGTGAGCCGGTCCAAATCCCAGCAGGATCCATCAATATAATCGCCAGCCCCACATTCAGAGCGCCCAACACACTGCCAATATACGCCCAAGGCTGCCTGGGGCGTCGGGACCCCAGGCAGCCGCGGCAGTTGCATGGCAATGCCGCAACCTGAGGGCGGCATGGGGGACAGCATTCACCCCACGGCGCAGCGCCGAGCTCCGCTTCCACCCCGAGCAGGTCACGAAACCGGCCGTTTGCGCTAAAATCCTTCCCTGACCCATGTCAGATACATGCCGCCAGCTGCCACCCGTGCGCGCGCTTGCGCGCAAGGCCGCCGCCGCGCATTACCTGATCTGGGAGTCCAGCGCGCCCTCGCGCTGCGCCGCCGCCGCGCGCGCCGCCGCGCGCTGCTCCACCGCCGCGTCGCGGCTGGCCCCGAGGGGCGCGAGGTCGCGGCCCGCCGCGTCGATCGCCGCCGCCGCGTCGGCCTGCGCAGAAATGGGGGGGAGCGCGTGCCGCTGTCGGCTGTGGGTGCCCTCAAAACCACGTCTGCTGCGCCCTCGGAGCCACAACCAAGCCGGAGCACCAACCCACTTCAAGGCAACACACGCCACTTAACGCCGGCCATTGCCCGTGGCTGGTGCGTCTCAGCCACCAAAGCCACAGCACGTCCAGTAAAGTCGCGGCTGCTCGCTCCGCCCAATCCCATCATGAACCCGACGAGTGGGGGCGCGCCTGCTGCTGCCCGATGTCCTCCAGCCGCCGCTGCAGGTCCGCGCGCCGCTTGGCCGCTTCTCGCAGCTCCGCCACCCGCTGGCGCAGATCCCCCAGGGCCAGGGACATGGCCAGCACCTCGTCGCGCGCCCTGCCCTAAAAATGTGGATGCATGAGAGGCGCGAACATGAAGCCAAGCGCGGCGCTGCTCAGACTCATCCCCTGCCCCTTTTCCTACTCTCACTTTCACATATGCACCCACACAAAAACAAACGATCTCATCCGCACGCACTCCTGGAAACACACACGCTGGAAGCAGGGATTTGCAGAGAAAGAATACATCCCTGGGTCTGCACCCCCAAAGACCCATCTTACACATGCATGTGCAAGCCCCCTCGTTCTTACCTCCTTCGTGGGTAGGGTCTCCTTGCGCACCACCAAAGCACCCCCCCCTACACACTCACGTACAAGCAACCTTCCATCCCCACCTGCTTCTTGAGCAGCATGGCCTTGTTCACCCCCAGAATCCGTCCTGACACATGCATAAGCAAGTTCCCCCACGCTCCCCACCTCCTTCGTGGGCAGGGTCTCCTTGCGCACCACCAAAGCAACCCCCCTACACGCTCACGTACAAGCAACCTTCCATCCCCACCTCCTCCTTGAGCAGCGTCTCCCTGTGCACGCCAAAGGAACCTCTCGATAAACCTGTGCGCGAGCCCCCCCTTCTCACCTGCTTCTTGAGCAGCTGGTCCCTGTCGTACTCCTTGTGGTGCCGCTGATTCTCCAGCGCACTCAGGTCCTCGTCCACGTCGGATACGCTGCGGCCCGAGGCGGCGGAGGATGCCGCGCGGCGCTCCATCTCGGATACCTGATGGGCGGGAGGGCAGGGTGCGGCGTGTGTGTGTGTGTGTTTGGGGGGGGTGGGTGTAGGTGTGTGTGTGGGCGCTTGCGTCCATACACGTGCATACTCAATTGTGTGTGATTGGTGCCGAATTTAGTGCTGGCAGGTTGGTAAAGGCAGGTCTAATGCACCAACCCACCAGCCCTGGACCCAGGCTACCACGTCAGGTGGCCCAGCCTGACGAGGCCGGGCTGTCCACGTTATCTGCAGCGCAGGGGCTGCGCGCTGCACGGGGTGCGTCTGCTGTGAAGCAGCCCCAAGCGGCGCGCGGGGGCGCTGCAGCTGCCCCACCGCCAGCCCCAGCCAGGCGCCCCCCTCCAAAATCCTACCCAGACACGTCAGCCTGCGAACCTGCCAACGGTGTGAAAACCCCCGCCCCAAAGCCTTACACACGGCAGCCCAGCTCGCAAGTGGCCCCGAATTGCACACCGTCAACTAAGCCCATGCTGGTCACGAAACAATCTCAACTTCTTGCTCTGACGGCGCCGCGGCCCCTGAACCTCTCCCCCCCCTCCCGAAAGTCCCCAGCTCCCCATCCTGCCAACCCCCAACAAGTCGGCATGTTCCTCCTCTTGCGCCACAGCCCGGTCCAACAGCACCCAGCCCAGACCCCCCAGACAAGGGCGCCCTACTCAAGCGCCCATCTCCCTCAAACTCAAATTCATGCGGTGAGGCCTCCCTCCACAGCGCCAGCACGCCGCCACTGATTGCGCTCCGCCAGGCAAGTGCGCCCGCGCCGCCCCTGGCACCCCCCTCTGTCGACCATGACCGCACCTGCTTCTCCAGGTCCGCCACGGCCCTGTCCAGCGCCGCCGCCTGCCAGCCCAGGTCCCCCACCAGCCGCGAGCTGGCGTCCAGCTCTGCCGCCGCCATCGCCTCGTCCTCCAGCAGGGTCTGGAGCTGCGGGGGGGTGAGATGAGGGGAGAGGGG